CCTCTGAGGGCAGGTGGAGGGCTCCCTGAGGAGGGGCCCATTGAGCCAAGTGCAGAAAGAAGCACGGCATCTAATTGGGACAAACAGGGAGCTAGGGAAACGGGCGGGAGCAGATTGAGTGCAATCATGCGTACTTCTCGCTGCCTCAGGCTTCCCCATCTGTGGAAGAGATGGGGTGCTGGACACTATGCTTGCTGGCTGCTTTGTGGAGGACTTGGTGACATCGCAGGAGTAGAAGTATGCCCTGCAAACGCATGAATGTTCTCCTGCCATGCTCCGCCCACTAAGAGTGGCGCTGCAAGTATCTGAGGCCCTGTTCTCACTCTTGCCCCTCTGGAAGGCGTTCACTCCTGCTTTCCCTCGCCCAGTGTTGGACAAGTGGGAATTATCAACGGCCAGGGTGAACGCGGGCCTGTTCAAGCCCAGGGCATGGAGTGTGGTGGGGTGGGCCACTGTTTGGGAGTGGGTGCGTGGGTGGGTCCTCTACCTCTTCCATCCGATTCTCTCCCTGCAGGCCCAGGCCACTCCCCCTCGCAGGGCCCTGATTAGAACAGCAGTGTCTTTGTAAGTTGGTAGGACAAGGAATCCCAGGATCTTCCGGTTCCCAATCCGGTAACACAGACAGCGAAATGCGAGGCGCCGGGAGGGAAAGGGGACTTTGGTCCCAGGTCACGAGCTACACGATTCCAGCATGGGAGCTTGGACTCCAGGCCCCTGACGCGTTCACATCCAGCTCAGCAAGCCTAGTGTTTTGTGGGAATGGAGGGAGGCACAGGAGCACGCTGATGTCTTGGAGGAGGAGCTGGGGAGGAGCGTTCTGGGGTTGGCCCATGGAGCCTTGTGCCTCCGCACAGGCCGCGTCTTGCCGCATCTGCAAAGGGAACATGATTCCTAGTGTTGCAGAGTTGTTGAGTTAATGGACTGCTGGTGATGCCCAGGGCTCTGTGAGCTGGGTGGGGGAGGCTCTATTTCCTGCCTATGGTACTTCAGGCCCAGGCACTTCACCATTGCTGGGCCCGTGGTTTCCGTGAGGGAGCACTGAGGCTGGGTGACGTAGCTCCTGAGTATTGCCCTCTGGGCACGCCGCCCATACATGCGTCAGGTACTCCACGGTGCCTGTTCTTGATCCCAGCTACTCGGGAGGCTGAGGCAGGAGAATCGCTTGAACCTGGGAGGCGGAGGTTGCAATGAGCCGAGATTGTGCCATTGCACTCCAGCCTGAGCAAAAACAGCAAAACTCTGTCTCAAAAAATAAAATAAAATAAAATAAAAAGCATATAAAAAATATACGTAAAAAGCATATATATATGCTTATGTATATGTGTGTGTGTATATATGCATACACACATAAGGTGTGTGTATATAAAGATATAAAATAAAAAGCAAGACTCCTTTCTATCCCAGAATCCAGGTCCTCTCCCCAGAAGCAACTACTATTACCCATTTTAGGGTATCTTTCCAGAAGTATTCCCTGCATATCTAAGCATAGCATGTATTATTTAGCCCCTGAAAAGGGACATTCAGTACATACTGTTCTGTATCTTGTAGTTCCCCTTAGAAATATATCTTGGGGGTTGTTCTATACCAGTACAGAAAGATCTACTTTGGATTGGGTGGGATTTTGACAGGTGGGATATAAGGAAGGGTTCTTGACAGAGGGCACAGCCTGGGCAAAGGCCCAGAGGGGAGACCTTGGACTTGTTTACTCATCTCCAGAATGTTCAAATTTGGGTCTTCCTTGAAACCAAAAGCAGGCGACTTTAGGAGAAAATCTCCTCGGAGTGGGGAGAGAGCAGGCAGAACTTGCAAAGCCCAGTGGAAGCAGCAAGCTGTGCCCTGAGTTCCACGTGCCCTGGTTATGCTGGGCTTGGAGGCTGGAGCTGGGGAGGCCCAGCTCTTCCTACAGTCATTAAGTCTCCCTTGATCCATCCATCCCCTTGCAGCTTTCCTAAATATCTTCTGTCCTAACAGCCCTCCCACCTAAGAATCAGCTCAAGTGTCTTTGCCTGGCACTGGGCCTTCTGGCTGGCCACTCAGCTTCACTGGGTACTGTCTCTTGACCCACTGCAGCTCCTGCTAAGCCACAGGCCCCATTGCCCTGTGAATACCCTCCCCGTCCTGTCTCCAGACCTTGGCTCAGGCCACCCTCAACTTCCCCTCCTGTCTGCCCTGACCCTGTCTGTGGCATCTCTGAGAGTCTGCAAGCCAAGCCAAGGGCAATGCCAGCTCTTTGATGGACCCTCCCTGAAGAAGTCTCTCCATGGGAGATGGGAGACAAATGACACCACCTTGGATTTGGTGGAGCATGTCAGCATCTGCTGCCCTGAAGCCCAAGGCCCCATTCACTGCCTGGCCTCTCCTACTAAGGATATCCTAATGCCGTTGCTGCCAAGGATACCAGGGCAGAGGGCGGGGAAAAACCATCCTTTTTGAGAGCATATTTACTGGAGCCAAGCACTTTGTGATTATTATTATTTTTTGAGACAGAATCTCACTCTGTCACCCAGGCTGGAATGTAGTGGTGTGATCTCGGCTCACTGCAACCTCTGCCTCCCAGGTTCAAGTGATTCTCATGGCCCAGCCTCCAGAGTAGCTGGGATTACAGGCGCCTGCCACCAAGCCCAGCTAATTTTTTTGTGTTTTAGTAGAGACAGAGTTTCGCCATGTCGGCCAGGCTGGTCTCAAACTCCTGGCCTCAAGTGATCTACCCGCCTTGGCCTCCCAAAGTGCTGGGATTACAGGCATGAGCTATTACGACTGGCCTTGAGTCAAGCACTTTGTGACAACAATAACATTTCATCTTCACACAGTCCTGTTGGGTCGGCGTTCACATCTGCCTTTACAAATGAGGCAACTGAGGCTCAGAGGAATTACTCGATTTGCCCACTGCCATGCAGGCAGTCTGGAGTGGAGCTGAGACTCAGACCAGCTGTCTTGTCTCAGAGCTGGTGATGGGTCCACGGCACTGAATGGGCTCATCTCTCACCCAGGGCCACCCTCTGCCTCATGTGCACTTGGTGCCGAATAAATAAAAGAACCTGAGTGGGGTGGAGTGGTGGGGGTCTCCGGGCTGCCTGTGGGGAGGGGCTGCCCTTGGGAATGTTCTCACCTCCCCGCTTCCCTCCCTCACCCCATCCCTGGTCAGATCTGGAGAGCAGAGACTGCAGCCACATGGTGCCGGCCGAGAAGACTCGTGTGGAGAGCGTGGAGCTGGTCCTGCCTCCCCATGCCAATCACCAGGGCAACACCTTTGGGGGCCAGATCATGGCCTGGATGGAGAATGTGGCCACCATTGCAGCCAGGTGAGGGCAGAATGTACTGCCTCTGCCTCCCCTCCTTTCTCCTCCTCCTCCCCTTGGCCACCTCCCTCTGGAGGGGAAACCCCAGCTTAGGGTTGGCATTCAAGGCTTCAGAAGCTTGGCTGTTCCAAATCAGATAAAGAATTTTTGTGAACTGACTATTTCTTGTTCTACTCAAAAAGCTCTCATCTTTTACGTGGGAAACAACAGCTCTCTTGGCCTGGCACTAGATCCTCCCCTTGATCTGGCCCTACCTGTACTCCTTCTAGTATCTATGTTCCCTTCACATCAAGCCATTTGCTGCTCTGTGTTGCCATCCTCCACTTTCCCAGCCCCTGCCTTTGCCCCTGGTGTAGGCTCCTGCTGTGTTTCCCCTACTCTTCTTTGTCTGCTAATATCCTGCCCACTTCCTCCATAAAGCCATCTCTCACTGTTCCCTTCCTCCAAGGGGTGAAAATTGTTTTCTCTCCTATAACCTCTGTGCCTGTCTGGGGCTTGTTCTACCCTAAATATCAGGGTGTTTTTTATAGTTATAGTAACTGACCTTCACTAATTGACACTCTCACACCTCCATGACTTTGCTTTTGCTGTTCCCTTTACCAGGAGTGCCCTTCCCAACCCATGCCCTTCCCAGCCAGGCGGATTCCTCCTTATTCTTTAGAGCCTGGCTTCGATGGCCCCTCTTCCAGTTTAACCTGTGGGAGACAGTGCATAAGCTATGCTCTTTTGGACAGCCTTGGCTATAAGTGCAGGAAGATCCCAGAGGAGGGTAAGAGGCTGATGGTCAGGGAAGGCTGCCTGGAGGAAGAACACTTCAGCTGGGCCTTGAATGCCAAGTAGCTTTGGGTTAGGGGAGGGCTTCTAGATAGTAGGAACAGCAGCTACCAAGGTGTAAAAGTTGGAAGGAAAATGGGAAAGGGGTTTACCTCAAACCCTACTTTCTTCTGTCTCCTCAAACTTGGCTCCTTTCCTACCATGCATAGACCTCAGTATTCTAAGCTATGAAATGAGACTTCAGTTCTGTGCCTCTGAGCAGAACTGCCACTGGTTTGGGTGGCAGTGGGTGGGTCAGAATGTGTAGTTCCAGGCTGGGTCTGGGGATGGGACTAGGGTAGGAGGCCGGCCCAAGCTGGCCTAGTGTGGTGGCTCATGCCTGTAATCCCAGCACTTTGGGAAGCCGAGGCCACTTGAGGTCAGGAGTGCAAGACCAGGTTGGCAATGAGGTAAAACCTCATCTCTACTAAAAATACAAAAATTAGCCAGGTGTGGTGGTGTGTGCCTGTAGTCTCAGTTACTTGGGAGGCTGAGATGGGAGAGTTGCTTGAACCCGGAAGGTGGAGGTTAGAGTGAGCCAAGATAGCACCAATGCATTCCAGCCTGGGCAACAGAATGAAACCCTGTCTCAAAAAAAAAAAAAAAAAAAAAGGGGGTGCCAGGTGGCTTCATGCCTGTAATCCCAGCACTTTGGGAAGCCAAGGTGGGTGGATCACCTGAGGTCAGGAGTTTGCAACCATCCTGGCCAACATGGTGAAACCCCGTCTCTACTAAAAATACAAAAAATTAGCCGGGCATGGTGGTGGACGCCTGTAATCCCAGCTACTCAGGAGGCTGAGGCAGGAGAATTGCTTGAACCTAAGAGGCAGACGTTACAGTGAGCTGATATTATGCCATTGCACTCCAGCCTGGGCAATAAGAGTGAAACTCCGTCTCAAAAAAAAAAACAAAAAACAAAAAACCTGGCCCAAACTAGTGGCTAAAGCACTGAGGGCATTCCTTCTGTCTCCCCCTCCAAACCTCCTCAGTCGGCTCTGCCGTGCCCACCCTACGCTGAAGGCCATTGAGATGTTCCACTTCCGAGGCCCGTCCCAGGTCGGCGACCGTCTGGTGCTCAAAGCCATCGTGAACAATGCCTTCAAACATAGGTGAGGGTCTGGAATGGGCGCGGCCAGGGCCATTCGGGGCTGACCCTAGAAAGGACCCTACTGCAAACCGTCCAGGAGCCCTTTGGCCTGCAGACAGGGTCTAAATCCTCGCCCGGCTCCTGGGTTCCTTCACTGTCTCTGAAATTCAGCTTTGATGTTCCCTTCTTGGAAGCCTTCCCTGGCTCCCAGTCCTGCCTATCCCTGGCTGGGTCAGGGACCCCTCCTGTGGGATCCCCCAGCCCCTGTCTCCCACTGTCTCAGATCAGTGTCTCTGTCCCTCTCCTTGGCTCCTGGCTCCAGGCCTGGACCGCTATATGCTCAGATCACAGGGCCACTTCTTGCCAGTGTTTGGTTGTTTATCAAACCCTTTCCCACACATTTCCTAAAACAATTAGTCTACAGAGTCGTTGCCTTTACAATGAATTCTGATACCTACTCCCATGAAAACTGACTTTAAATAAGTAAATTTTTTGAGAATTTCAGAGATCATTATTTAATCATTAAAAGTGAGGGATCAGAGCCAGGCTGCTGGGTTCGAGTTTGGCTCCACCTCTTACTGGCTCTGTGACCTTGGGAAGCAACTTAACCCCCCTGAGTCTTGGTTCTTTCACCTATAAAATGGGGCTCATCACAATGACCTCAGAGTTATGAGGATTCAATGAGCTGTTGCTAGTAGAATGCCAGAGAAAATGTCCGGTAAAGATCAGCCATTGCGGCTGCTCTTACTATTACTGTTGTTATTTGCAGTCTGACTTCACACATTCTGCCGCGGTGCAGGGGAAAAGCCCTTTCGTAGGAGCTGTGAAGCCTGGTTTTTAGCAGATTCCAGGAATCTGGAATCCTTGGAAAAATTATTGCCCAGTTCTAGGCCTTGGTTTCCCCATCTATATAATGTCCACATTCTGCAATTATAGAACTTCCCAAGTGAGGGGGAATGGTGGTGGCTATTTTATAATTAATAAAGATGGTAAGTGACTGGGTGCAGTGACTCATGCCTGTAATCCCAGCACTTTAGGAGGCCGAGGCAGGCAGATCACTTGAGGCTCAGAGTTCAAGACTAGCCTGGCCAACATGGCGAAACCCCGTCTCTATTAAATAAACAAAAAATGAGCCACATGTGGTGGCACACACCTGTAATCCCAGCTACTTGGGAGGCTGAGGCACAAGAATCCCTTGAACCCAGGAGGCGGAGGTTGCAGTGAGCCGAGATTGTGCCACTGCACCCCAGCCTGGGTGACAGAATGAGACTGTCTCAAAAAATAAATAAAGGAATAAAGAAATAAAGATGGTAAGATACACATGAATAGCAGCAACTGAGCTGTTGGAAGCCAGGCTGCCACAGCACTTGTAAATATGCACATGATGAACATTTTCTAATTAGGCTGTGCACCTCCACCTCCTGGTTTACGTCCTCATGCCCCTTCGCGGTTTATGTTGGCATATTTATACCTTTGCTTTCTTGGTTGCCTCCTCCCCCGGCCGTTAGCCCACGAGGCATGGACTTATTGCCTCGTGGGTTTATTCACTCCCTCATCCTCACAGGGCCGGACACACACAGGAGGTGCTCTGTAAACATTAGTGGAGGGTGTGGTCCCAGGTATCCTGTCATTGGGACTCTGATCCAGGTTGCTGGAAGAACTGCAGGAGTGTGTGTGCATACGTGTGTGAGTGTATGTGTGTGTATGTGTGTGTGTGAGTGTGTGTGTTGAGGAGGAGGCATGGCCCATGGGAAGGTCTGTCCAGGTTGGAAGCCGCACTCTTTCCCCTCAGCATGGAGGTGGGCGTATGTGTGGAGGCCTATCGCCAGCAGGCTGAGACCCACCGGCGCCACATCAACAGTGCCTTTATGACCTTTGTGGTCCTGGACGCAGATGACCAGCCCCAGCTGCTGCCTTGGATTCGGCCCCAGCCCGGGGTAAGTGGGACCAGCGCCCTGCCCCACCAGCAGCTCCCCTCCCCTCCCTCTCTGCCTGCCAGCCCCCTGCAGCCTAGAGGTGTGAGGGGCCCACCCTACCCCTGTGCTGGGGCACGGCCAGCTCTGAGTGTCCTGGCTGTGAGCCCCGGGATGCCCCTTGTGCAGGGCGGGCTTGTTCTGCCTGACAGAACTTGGAATATGTGTGGGTCTGGCTCGGAGTTGGGGATTAATGGACTGTCATGAGCCACAGGGTTGGGAGATTACTGGCTTTGGAGTCAGATGTGGGTTGGAACCTCGCCTCTACCACATTCAAGTGATGTCCCCTTGAGCTTTCAGTCCCCATGTGTAAAATGGGTGCGTCTGCAGTCCCTGCCTCACAGGACTGTGGGGCGATAGATGCAGTACTGACTCCATGCCTGGCTGCGTCCTGGGAGCGGTGAGGAGGATGGTGAAAGCGATGCAAGGGGCACGGGAAGACAGTCAGGAGCCTGGTGCAAAGGTCCTCTCTAACAAAATGCTCCCTGTGCCTCCTGTGGGCCAGGCACTGGAGAGGCCGCTTCCTCCCTCGGGGGAGGTCCCCTGCCTTCCAGAGCCTAGCGTGAGCTGTGGAGTTGGGCAGAGCCTCGGGATTGGGAGCTGGGGGTCACAGCCACAGCCTCTTCCCAGGCATTTTCCGTGTCGTGCTTGGGACTGGGGGACGTTAGATGTGGTGGTAAAGAGGGTGGGCTTGAGGCAGGCCACTGGGGTGCTGATCCTGGCCTCGGCCCTTACCCCTGTGGCCTTGGCAAGCCCTCATCCTTCCTTGTCTCAGGTTCCTCCTCTGTAGAATGGACACAGCACTAGCCCCAGCCTCGGAGGGTTGTTTTAGGGATTTGGTGCAATTCTGCATGGAAAGGCCTTGAAAAGAGTGGCTGGTGTGTAGCAAGTGCTCAATAAATGTGGACTGTCATTACCATTGTGAGGGGCCTGTAAGGATCCCCATTTTACAGAGGAGGAAACTGAGGTCTGGCCAGGGGAGATGGTGTTCCCAGGTCACTCAGAGTTTGAGGGGAGCTGGGGCTACAGCTTAGTTTCCCACTTTCCTGGCCAGGAGGTTTTGATTCCGGCTGCCCCAGTGACACCTGAACTCCACGTTAGGGCTGCAGGATCTCCTTGGGCCCTGGGGGATGGAGGGGGGGCAGGACAGAGGGTTGGAGTAGCTGGTTGCTCCTCTCACAGCACAGCCTATCCCGACTTCTTCCCCAGGATGGCGAGCGGCGGTACCGAGAGGCCAGTGCCAGAAAGAAGATCCGCCTAGACAGGTGAGCAGGGGCTGAGTAGTGGACAGAACGCTCCACTGACCCCAGGGTGCTCGCTTTTCTTCAGAGCTGCCTGTGCGCTGGGCCCTGGGCCAGGCCCTTTTCATCCTCTCGTTTCGGTCTCATTACACAGCTATCTTCTGGCCTGTTGTACAGGCGAGGATGCTGGGGACAGAGGGGTTAGGTGGCTTGCCCAGGGACACACAAATAGCATCAACAGAGTCAGAATTTGAACCTGCCAATTTTAAATCCTGTGTTCTTCCCATTGATTCTGATGCCCACTTGGCAGATGAAGAAACATTCAGAGAGGAGATGCAGTTGTTCAAGAGGTACAGCCACTTTGGGAGGCTGAGGCAGGCAGATCCTCTGAGGTCAGGAGTTCGAGACCAGCCTGGCCAACATGGCAAAACCCCGTCTCTACTAAAAATACAAAAATTAGCTGGGCATGGTGGTGGGCGCATGTAGTCCCAGTGCACCTATATGGACTTTGGAGGCTATAAGCACACCAGGGATCACAAGCCGTTGTTAATAAGAAAGCGTGCATCTATAGCATTTACTGAGCATCTACTGTGTGCCAGGCACTATTCTCCTTGTGATGACCCCTGAGGCAAGGGTGACTGTTGATCCCATTTCACAGATGAGGACACAGCAGCATTAGGGTGAGGTCAGTCAGCCAGGATGTGGGGTGTGGGGACCGAGCCTTAGACGCCACACCCTTCCTTGCTGGCTCGCTCCCGCCTCCGAGCTTTCCCTGGTGTAGGAGCCGAGCTGGTGTGCTCTCAGCTGCTGTGTCCTGTGTGACCATCCAGCCTCCCTAGACAGACAGGAGTCTCCCACTCTGCCGGGCTCAGCACAGGGCCTAGCACACAGTAGGCCTGCAGTAGAGTCTGTGGAAAGTGCTGGACGTCCAGGGGACCCAGGTTGTCATCTTCCCTCCTTCCCAGGAAGTACATTGTGTCCTGTAAGCAGACAGAGGTGCCCCTCTCCGTCCCCTGGGACCCTAGCAACCAGGTAAGGCCCTCTGCTCCAAGGGAACAGTCTTCAGACCCACTGGGGCCCCCACCCTTCCCTGCCTGTCAGAACGGGTTTGGAGGAAGGCCGGGGAGAACAGAATATGAATGACACACCTCATGGTTGCTACCGTTAGCAAAGAGCTTGCCTGTGTCCATATTTGGCAGGTGGAAGTGGAGACCTTGAGAGGCAGAGCAGCTTGTCCAGGGTCACACAGTGGGTCTAGCCAAGCCCAAGACTGGACCTCCCTTCCCAAAGTCCAGGACTCTTTCCTCAGCACTGCCCCCCATGCCCCCCATTCATGGTCCAGGTTCCTCTCTGGCACACCCTTGGCCTCGGCTCAGGGGTCTTGGGGGAAGGGGGCATGGTAGTGGTAGCACCTGTGTGCTCTTCCAGGTGTACCTGAGCTACAATAACGTCTCCTCCCTGAGGATGCTCGTGGCCAAGGACAACTGGGTGCTGTCCTCGGAGATCAATCAGGTAGCTGACCCCACCCACCCAATTTTCCTTTCTCCTCGGAACCAGAGGTGGCTGATGGCAAGCAACAAGAACTCTCCTATACCACTTATGTCAAAAAAGGATCTCTTCAAAGAATTGGGTGAGATCAAGAAACCAGTCCAGTTATGGAAACGTACCCACCTCTGCAGGGCCTAGAGTTGAGAACCCCTAGATCCTTCTCTCCTACCTGCCCCACTTCCTGTTCTCAGCCACTCAGGTCTGCTCCTGTCTGACCAGGCACTTCCTCTCTGTTCTTCTGCAGTGATCGCTGCAGGGATGGGGGCAGCCAACAGGCACGGGCTTACAGGAGACCTAAGCTCTGCCAGCTGCCTGTGCCCTTGGACAAGCCACCTCCTGCCTGTGACGCTAGGGCTTGGATTCTCAGCACAAATGTGCTGAATTCATGGGGATGCAGCTGAGACTCAGAGAGGCTGAGCTGTGCATTCACAGTCACACAGCAAGTCAGCCATAGCCCTGAGCTTCCAGCCTCAGCCTCCAGCATCCCCATCAGTCCACTCCACCACCCAGCAAATGAGGCTGCCCTGTGTCCCATGCAGGTCCGCCTGTACACTCTGGAGGATGACAAGTTCCTCTCCTTCCACATGGAGATGGTCGTGCATGTGGATGCAGCCCAGGCCTTCCTGCTGCTCTCGGACCTGCGTCGGAGGCCAGAGTGGGACAAGCACTACCGGTGAGGGGCCAGGGTGAGGGCAGGGCAGTGTCCCTTCTCCAGCCTGATGAGGGAGAGGGTGTCTCCTTCTGCAGGTCATCCTCCATGATGCTCTGCCCTGCTGGCCGTTAGCAGGGGCTGGGAGTGGGTTGGAGTTCCATGTTGGGTGGGGGGTCAGGGTCGTGGGTATTTTGAGCCCTTAGGGAAGAGACTGAGCATGGAATTGGAGCTGGAGGCTTGAGTTGAAGTCCTGCTTCTGTCCCAACCAGCTGTGTGATGCTGGATAAGTCAAAGTCACTTCCTTTCTGGCTTCAGTTTCTCTCTTCTTAAAACGCATGCTTTTTAAGAAGAGTGGGTCATGGATTCACACTGAGAGATACTGATTTTCAAACCATGTGCTCTGGAGTTCTGTGTTTCCAAAGGGGCTTCCAGAACTGCTTGGGGTGGAGTCAGAAGGCTGAAGGGTGAGTGGGATATAGCATGGCCAGTTTGCTGAACTTACCAAGTTTGCTGATTTTCCTCACAAATATGTTATTTTTGAATATAATGAATGATTATGAATAGAAATATATTATTCCTTTACATACATTTGTTCCTCCAAATTTGTTGATTGTTCGGCTGACTATCTTCTCGAATTTAGTCAAGGAAGATAAATATGTTCTTAGGAAAATAGCAAAATTTGTGTTTTTCAAGTCCCCTTAAAGTCATTTGCTATTCTGCCAACACCCTGGCTTGGGGGGGTTATTTGATAATCGCTTGTTATGAGGAGCCTACATTCTGGAGGATTTCCATAAGGAGGTTCTGTGTGTTTGGAAACTCAGTGTGCCGGTCGTTTGGCGAATTGTATTTTGACAAACTAGCCTTCCCCTTCCTACCCCATCTGTCTTCTCCCGAGCAGGCTTGTAGCTCTTTATACACAGGCTTCCTGCTGAAGGTTTCTTTGCAAAAAGGGCCATGTTGCCTTAAAAATCCCTGGCCCAGCTGACTCAGGCCTGCTGGTTGTCCCCTTCCAGAAGGCAGAGAGGTGATGTGGTGGTGGGTGTTGTGTAGGGGGAGGGCGGTTGTGCATGTGATAGGTGGGCTTCTTAGAGGGAGGCTGGGGTGGGCCTTGAAGGCCAGACCAAATCTTGATACTTGATCGGATTTGTGGGGGAGTGGCCTGAGGGGAAAGAGAGCCCCTAGTTTCTTCCCCATACCCTGCCTACTGCTGAGTGCGGGCAGGGGATTGGGGAGGAGGAGGTGGGTCTGGACGTGGCCATGTCTGCCTCTGTGTGGGTGTCCTTGTGTGGATGCACGTGTAGATATGAACCTGTGTATGCCCATGCATGTATGTGTCAGGTGCCTGGGCCTAGGGATATATCTCTGCCACCTGATAGTCTGAACACACCCCAGCCCTGCTTCCTTATTAGCTCTGTGGCCGTGGGCAGGTTATCTTCCTCATCTATGAGATGGGAACACTAAAAGTGTCTACAGCATGGGGCTGTTATGGAGATTAAGCAACACATGTAAAGCACTTAGAACAGCACCTGGCACTCAGTGGGCGCTCAGTAAATGTTAAGAACAACTGCTAAATCATCACACATCCTTGTGGTGTCTGTACCTGCGCAGACATGTACAGACACACGTGGGTCTCTCTGTATACTGGTGTCTGTCCATGTGCCTGTGTACATATGAGCACGTGTGTTCATGTATGTGCACATCTTTGTTCCCGTGTCCGTGTGTATGTGTTCATTTACTTGCATGCACGTCTACGTGTGCCTGTGTGTACACACGCACATGTGTGTCCATCTTGACTGGGCCTTGCTGCCTTCCTGCTGGTCCCTGCTGAGCAGTACAGGGGGTGACATCCCACCACAGAAGCTGCTCAGGCGCTGCACTGTGGCAGGGCGTGGGCAGACCGGCTGCCTGCATGGGAGCTGGAAGCTTCCTGGGGCCCTGAGATCCTGATCTCCCCACAGGAGCGTGGAGCTAGTGCAGCAGGTGGATGAGGACGATGCCATCTACCACGTCACCAGCCCTGCCCTTGGAGGTCACACAAAGCCACAGGACTTCGTGATCCTGGCCTCGAGGCGGAAGCCTTGTGACAATGGGTGTGTGCCTATCTGCTGTGGGGTGGGAGACACAACTGGACGGAGTGGTAGGGTGACCGCATCTCCCTCCCAGGGAAGGCCATCAGCCTGGAGCCAGAGCTCTGCTTCCCATTGGCTGTGGGGCCCCAGGCACCGCTAGACTTTTCTGGGCTGCTGTGGCTTTACCATGGGTAAAATGGGGGACAGGGGCACACGCTTCCCTTCTTGTCACATTCCCTACAGCAGGGCTGCCCTTGCCCAGGGTGGCTCAGGCTGCCTCGATGCAGGCCTTGGACAGGATATTTCTCGGGTGGCCACCTCCTTGGCCTCCTCCCTCTGACAGCCCTGTGTGGGCTGGAGGGCCTAAACATCTCTTTTGCTGGAGAGACAGGGACAGAAAAAAAATCCCAAAGCCCACGAGTCTTCCCCCGAGCGTTGAAGCAGAGTGGCTTTTCCAGAAAGTCCACCGTGGAGGCAGGTTGGCTCCTGGTGAATTTGGTGCTAACCCACAGGTGCCTCCTCCCTCCAGCCTGGCCCTGAGCCCTGCATCGGGGCTTTAAGAGTCGATGTGCCTTGCATCCCCTGGTGAGGAATCCGTGCCAGAGGGGGCAGGGTCTGGGCTTTGGTTGGGCGGAACAGGCCCCCACTTTCTTCTGTGGCTGACCCCTGTCCCCTTGCTACCCTTCCTTCACTCAGGGACCCCTATGTCATTGCGCTGAGGTCGGTCACGCTGCCCACACACCGAGAGACGCCAGAGTACAGACGCGGAGAGACCCTCTGCTCAGGCTTCTGCTTCTGGCGCGAGGGGGACCAGCTGACCAAGGTGAGGCCAGTCCCCCTCACCACGCCCCCAGCCTGGCTCCACCCCAACACCACACGTATACTGAGCTTAGCACTGCTGGGCTAGGATAGTCCCAGAGCTGGGCCCCCCAGCAGGCTCCTGCTTCCAGCCTGGGGGAGCCTGGAGTGTCAGGGGCTGAAAATGATCTCATCTGTGTAGAGGTAAGTCAGAGGCTGCTGCATGGTCTTGGAAAAAGCTCTGGGTGCTGAAGTCAGAAGGCCTGGTTTCTGAACTGAAATTCCATCTCACTCGTCATTCCCTTGGATAGCCCTTCTCATCTAGGAAGGCTTTATATGGGCTCTGAGGGCCCATAAAACCCAGCAGTGCAGTCTGTGTTGATGGGCAGGAGGCTGAGGGAAAGTGAGGGTGGGGTACTGCAGCCTCCCCACTCACAGCTTCTGTTAGGGCCCTGCAGCCGGGCCCTGAGACTCACCCAGCAGAGACTCAGCTGGTGTTTGCTGAATTCATATGCTTGAACCCCTGAGCGCCTCAGAACCATCCCTGGGCTAATGTCTAACGTGTCTCTATGGCCAAGATTCAGAGCTGGGCCCTGGAGACGCAGCTGCTGCCCTCCAGGGCCTCTGGCTGGCGGGGAAGATGCACGATGGCAATGTCGTGTGTGGTGGCGGGAAGCCAAGGTTGTCAGCGCCCCCGGAAGGGTTGGGGGAGATCAGCTGGAGGAGGCCATGCTGGCCAACTGTGTAATCTAAGACCCTGGGGAGTTGGATTGAATTTTCTGCCCTCCCAGAAGACAAGCAAGGCTGACTCACCACCAGCCTGTGCCTACTGGGCTCCCACCCCTTCCCAGTACCCTCCCCTAGCTCGGTCCCCCTGAGCCTGGCTTCCCACCCTGCAGGTGTCCTACTACAACCAGGCTACCCCAGGTGTTCTCAACTATGTGACTACCAATGTGGCCGGCCTCTCCTCTGAGTTCTACACCACCTTCAAGGCTTGTGAGCAGTTTCTCTTGGACAACCGGAATGATCTGGCCCCCAGCCTCCAGACCCTCTAGATGCCCTCAGTGGCCACATCATGCCCACTCCCACTCCATCCTGCCCCCAAGGACTCACATACAGTGCCTGGAGAAAGCCAAAGGCCTTTATTTCTTCCTGCCTCCCCGTGGGAAGCCTCCGCCCTGGAGCCCGCTGGGCCACCACCCCGGGGTGCTCAGTTTCTGCCAACATCGGCCAGCAAGTCCTTGCGGTGCCCCTGGGGCAGCCTGTAGTAGACTCGGGTCCTATCCACAGCCCTGGCTGCCAGCAGCACTGTCCTCACAGAGGCATAGTCGCCCCCCGCTGGGCTGTGCTCCACTGTGACGGTGGCCCGGGGGGAGGATGCCAGCAGCCTGGCTATGGCTCCAGCTGTGCTGTGACCCAGCAGTATGGCCTGCATCTGGAAGGACACAGGTTGCCAAAGCCCCTGGCACAGCTCTAGCATATCTGTGAGCAGATGTTCTCTATAGCCACTGCCCAGCACCTCCTCAGGCCAGCCTGGTGCCACAGTCACGTGGGGGAAGACCTCAGCCACAGCTGTAAGCAGCTCTCTGCCAGCCACATGGCCAGGGACCGAAAAACTCCCGTGGGAGATTTTGGCCCCAACCCACACAGGCCAATGCAAGAGGCCAAGGCTGGAGAGGTGTGCCAGCAAGGCCAGGGACGGCCGGAGGGCTGCGGGCTCTGCTATTTGCAAATGGATGCCCCAGTGTCCGGTTCGTGTGGCCAGCTGTTGCAGGCAGGACTCCAGCGTCAGGATGCTGCCACTTGGAGCATGAACAATGGGCACGGGGTTTTCAGCCACAGTTCCCTCGAGGCCAGTGTTCAGCAGGATCATGCCTTCTGTGTCTGGAAGAGGCAGCAAGGGCAACAGGGTTTAGGATTTGGGTTATCATAGGTTTTAGAGTCCCTTGTTAAAGGGGCAGTGGGAGTTATGGAGTCATCAAGGATCTTGCCTCTCTGGAATCTGTCAACCCATTTTTGGGCTCCAGGTAGATGGGTTGCTTTATAAATGTGCCTGGTGCGTGAGAAACTCTTGCTTCAGCTCTTGGCCTTTACCCATGACTCAGTCTGGGGCCTGGTGCCGGCCTTGCCCATAGCACTGTGGCTGAGGACTGGTCTGAAGGCCAGGAGCCCTGTGCTTTTGACATCACTGTACTCCCTCTCCCTCTCCCGCAACCCTGCCCCACCTTGCATCCAGGGTATGGTGTAAATAAACCCGTGTTGTCATGGCAACAGAGACTGGCGTTACCTGCCCCAAGCAAAGGACACCCCTGCAGATGAGCTAGGAGCACCAGGGTTGAAGGGTAGACCTTACCTGGGAGGGTCATTGTTGCTGTTTGACCACTGCCCTGGACGTCAGGAACCAGCCACTCCACATTCAGACCATCATCCCCAGGCAGCTGGAGAAGAGGGATCAGGCTGCCTCCCGTGTAGTACATTGGTTTCCGTGTGGCATTCACTGTGGGGCTCCAAATTGCCAAAGTGAAGTGGCTGCCATTCATGGAACACCTTCTATAGGCCACAGCTCTACAGGCATCCTCTCTAAACCTCATGGCACCCTGCCAAGTAGCTATCCTTTCCTTGTTTTGTAGACTAGAAGAAGTGACTTGCCCAAGGTCTTATAAGCAGTAAGCAAAGTTGCTGGGAGTGGAACCTGATGGGGCCAGGTCTGCCTGGCCCCAGAGCTGGTATCCTTCCACCTCGCTTAGGTGGCTTCCATGGCAGGAATGCAGAGTCTTGTGGGGCCCCTTTGAGATGGCTTAACTGCGGCTCTTCTGGGTTCGGGGACAAGGGAATGAGGGGTTTGGATGGTGGCATCTGATCACTGTTTAGCAAATACAGTGGAGACCTCTGAAGCATTAGAGTAACCCACAGTGGAGCTGTGCACCAAGGGAAATAATGGGGGGTTTGGAATTTGCTGGTTTCCTGTCTGCTGGGCCACATACAAGCTGAGTGACTGTATTGAGCTGCTGTTTCTCTATAAAATGGAATCCCTCAGTTTCTCTATAAAATGAATGTGTGGGTCAGGCAGGTGGCTCACGCCTGTAATCCCAGCACTTTGGGAGGCCAAGGCGGGTGGATCACCTGAGGGCAGAAGTTCAAGACCATCCTGGCCCAACATGGTGAAACCCTGTCTCTATTAAAAATACAAATGTAGCCGGGTGTGGTGGTGCAGGAGAATCACTTGAACCCGGGAGGCGGAGGTTGCAGGGAGCTGAGATTGAACCGCTGCACTCCAGCCTGGGTGACAGAGCCAGACTATGTCTCGAAAAAAATATATAAATAAAAATAAAATGTATGTTTGAAGCTTAGCATACCATCCCAGGGCCTGGCACACAAAATGCAGCTGCCTCCTGTCCCATCCTGGCCTTCCCCCTTCTGATATCCCTTCCGCCCAGCTCTGCTCTAGTGCCCACCAAGTGCTGCCCCATGCAGAATCCAGCCCACACCGCCCTTCCCAGTTTCTCTCCTTACAGGCCAGCTGCTTGAACTGTGACAGGAGAGGCTCAAAGATGTCATAGTAGACTTGGTGGACAGCAGTGTTATCCCGGACGTAGAGCAGATCCTCCACCGACATGGGGTCCGAGGCAGCCTGCCACAGTGTCAGGCTGTACCTGGGGCCACGAGAGCTGACTCAGTGCCTGTCTGAGCCCAGCAGACCCTCAGCCCCACTCCTGTGCTCAGAACTGGATGTCAGCTGGGCCCAGGGTAGAGCATCTGTCCTCCAGTCGCCCACCCGCCACTTCTCCCTGAGTCCTACCCCTTCCCAAGGGCAGGAGCCAGAACGAATTCAGGAAAGATGACAGAAAGCAGAGGCCCAGGAGGGAGGGGGAGCCTGTCCTGCCTCCTCATTTGCAGTGTCTATTTCTGAGTCCTGTCTTAGGAAAGGGGCAGGACAGATGGGGCAGGGTGTGGAAAGGTAGATCAGGCATCAAGAAGGGGAGGGGGCAGCTTTGGGAGCACTGTGGAAGGTAGAGGGGATAGTGGGAGCTGAGAAGTCTCTAAATTCCTGTAGGGCTATCCTAAGGCAGGGGTTGAAGGCACAATCTGTGTAGCCCCAGGGGTACAGCTGGCTCCCATTGGAGGAAGCTGTGGGGAGACAAATTGTGTCTTGGTATAAATATTTTCCAGAGGGCAGAGAATTACCCACCAATGAAAAGCCTCCTGCAGGAGGTAGTGAGTAGCCCGTCACCAGAGGTATGCAAGCAGAAAGCAGGGACTCTGTAGACGGCATGAGCACCAGCAGGGGTTGGACGAAATGACCGTTAAGACCCTTCCAGCTATGAGCTGAGCTTCTGGGATCTTGCTGGGGGTATCAGTGCCTCCAGGAGGGTGGGGGTGGGTTTGGTGGTTTTCACCTTTCAGATTGGCTCAGCAGCCAGCTGAAGTGGGGCCAGGCGGCCCGCACCATGGAAGACCGCACAGGGAAGGTGACCCTCTGGGGTACCACTCCCACCAGCTCGTGCATCTTCTCCACCATGGCTCGGGTGTAGGTCCTGTTTGGGAATATGGACATGTAGAAGGTGGTCCAGCCTGGAGACAGGGTAGCCTTGGGATACTTCTCCTGGACCAGGGCCAGGAACCTGCAAAAAAAATCAGAGACGTTGGTATCACGGAGCTGCGGCGGCCCCTTACTCTCCTCTGGGTTCTCATCACAGTGCTAGGGAGTGGCAGGGCCTATTGGATCTATGAAAAGGTCAGAAGCAGAGTCCCAAAGAACAGAATGGCTTGTTTCAGGTCCCATAAATTGGGCATGGACTTTGGAGTCAGGGAAGTCTGGGTTCAGATCCTGATACTGATCTTGGGCAGGTAACTCAACCTCATAGACAGCATCCCTTCTAGCAGGGACGGCTTCTTAAACATCCACATATAGACAGGAAACTGACTCAGAGCCCCAGCCTGTGGGAATCTGAGCTCTGCCAGCTGGGAGTCTCTGAAGTTTCTCAGGTTTTCTTTAAAAATTTCCCTCCTGCTGGGCGCGGTGGCTCACGCCTGTAATCCCAGCACTTTGGGAGGCTGAGGCGGGTGGATCATCTGAGGTAGGGAGTTCAAGAGCAGCCTGACCAACATGGAGAAAGCCCATCTCTGCTAAAAGTACAAAATTCGCTGGACGTGGTGGTGCATGGCTATAATCCCAGCTACTCGGGAAGCTGAGGCAGGAAAATCGCTTGAACCCAGGAAGCGGAGGTTGTGGTGAGCTGAGAGCGCACCATTGCCTTCCAACCTGGGCAACAGAGTGAGACTCCGTCTCAAAAAAAAAAAAGTTCCTGCGTTCCTGCCTTCCTGCCTTCCTGCCTTCCTGCTTTCCTTCCTCCCTTCCTTCTTTTCTTCCCTTCATATATTTCTCTCTTTGCTTTCTATGTGGGGTCTCGCTGTGTTGCCCAGGCTGGTCTCAAACTCCTGAGCTCAACGGATCCGCTCACTTTGGCCTCCCAGAGTACTAAGATTATAGGTGTGAGCCACTGTGCCCAGCCTAAAATTGTATTTGAACTTTGCCTTGATGAAAATATTTTAATTTTTTCTTTGTACTTTTCTTCTTCAAAAGATGCAAATTTTAATAGGCAAATTATGTTGCCACCCACTGCCCACCAAAAAAAACCTACTGAGTAAAATTAGCACTCCAAGAAGACAGGTCATATTTATCTTGGGTCATTGATTACATTTCCCAAACTCCTACTTTGGGAAGGCACTTCAGCTTGAGAAGCACAATAATAAATACTAGATGGATGGATTGCTGGCTGGTTGGATGGATGGAACAAGAGATGGATGGGAAAGAGCCTGGAGCTTAGAATCAGAAAGGCCTGGGTTTGAATCTTTGCTCTGCCACTTACTAGACTTAGGCAGGTCTTTTAACTTCTATAATATAGTTCTTGCATTAATAAAATGGAAATAATAGTACCTACCTCATTCTCGTAAGAGTTAAATGATGTTCTGCGAGTCAAGTGCTTAAAACGCTTCTGGGACACATAATATACATTGAACGAATTGAGCTTCCACTATTGTTAGCTTTATTATCTGCAAAATGGGGAGAAAGCCTTAACCTGGCAGTGCTATGTAAGGACCAGATCAAAGACATTCTCTTCTTTTATGTGGTCTCTTTGTAAACTGTAGAGCACTGTGCAACTACTGTATGTGAATGCTGTGAGCAGCGGTGCTGGAATTCATGAGGCCTGGGGAAGGAGTCAAGCTATATATAGTGTGACTGGAGACAAACTCAGAGGTCCCCTAAGATCCCCATCCGTGGTAGGTGTTGACAGAAGAGGGCTGGACACAGCTGGGACAGAGAAGCAAACACTCACTGTGTGGCATTGACCTCAGTTGAGATGAGCATGTTGGGGCCCTTTAAGATGTCAGCATTGATCCACACGGGCCGCCAGACTTTGCCTTCCTCTGTCAGCCGCCGCAGGAGGTCCAGGGAGGGGCCCACGGCCTTGATGTTCTTGAAGTCCAGTTTGATGCCTGTGGGGAAACGGACAAGGGCTTGGGGAACTGGCGAAGGAACCAGGAAGATGTGACTCCCTGGGCAGAGAGCAGAGAGCGTGTGTGTGTGCGTGTGCGTGTGTGTGTGTGTGTGTGTGCGCGCGCTGTGGAGTCAGGGGAGGGTGGAAGGACAAGCACCACATCCCTGCAGGGTGTGGGGAAGGCCTTTCGAAGAGACAGAGCTAACTCAGAGAAGAAGGGCCTGCCTCTGGAGGAATTCCCATCTCCTGCGGGGAGGAAACAGAGGCCAGGTAGGGACCTGGGCTTGTGGCTGCTGCAGCTGCTGAAAAGGGGCTGTGGTTCCTGAGCAGGGTAGACTCAGAGGGTCCTAAACCACCAGAGCCTGTAGGGAGGTCACTCAGCGGCCGGGAAGGTGCATTTGAGTAGAGGAGGAAATCTCTGCAGAGGAAGGACCCGGTACTTTTCAGGGCGGTGAGGAGATGAGGCTGGGAAGATAGAGAGGGATGTTGAAAGCCAGGCCAAGATCATACTTTTTCCTGAGGACAATGGGGAGCCATGGAGGGTTAAAACAGAGGTGTGGCATGACAAAACTGGTGTTTGGAAAAGATTCCTCAGGGGGGTGTGTGTGTGTGTGGTCATGGTAGTCAAGGGAAGCCTGGAGGGGCTGAATTTGGGGCAGGAAGCCGGTGAGGAGGGAGGTCCTGGAGAGATACAATGTGGCTGCGACTAGATGGGGGCAGGGTTAAGGGTTAGGATTGGTGGATGCAGCAATTAAGTGACTGTGAGGATGAGGGAGAGGGAGGCATTATGGTGACGCCTGGATTCTGACTGTGACTGGTGAAGGGGCGCAGAGGGGAAGGGTGGGGCTGGGCTTTGAACATGTTATGTCCAGTTCTGTGGATACAGGGGGAAGCACTCTGAGCATGCGTGACACTTTGCAGTTCACACTGTACTGCCTGCTGTCTCCCCTGTGTGTCCAGGAGAGAACACCAGGACCTGCACTGACACGCTCCCCATCTCGCCTAGTCCTCACTGAGCCTGAGCATCTGTAACATTGTGATGAGAAAGCCAAGGCAGTGAGCACCTCATGTCAGGGCTGGACTTGCTTCCCAGGGAGGGATCTCTGCACATGCTGCCCCAGGGCCAGAGGGCTGGGGGCCGGGGAGGGTTTCCAGAGAGACCCTTACCCTTTTGGGAAGAGCCCAGCACAGCATCCAGCCACTGCTCCAGTGTATTGTCGCTGTAGATAGCCGGGGGATGTGCCATGATGGGAACTCCTGTCTCATTGGCTGTGCCGAGCCCTTCTACATTGACGTCAGCCTCCAGGACCGTGATGTTGCCTGTGGAAGAGGCAAAAACTCAGTTTCTTTTTTTAAAAACAGAAAACTTTTTTCTCATCATAAAAGCATTACAAATTACAGAACATTTGAGAAATACAGAAAAGCAGAAGAAGAGAAAAATATTCACCCACACTTCCATCATAGTTTCACATTCTGATGGATTTTCCTTCCATTTTTTTCTATGCATAGGTTTTTTTGGAGACAGAGTCTTGCTCTATCGCCCAGGCTGGAGTGCAGTGGTGAGATCTTGGCTCACTACAACCTCCACCTCCCAGTTTCAAATAGTTCTTGAAATTCTTCTGCCTCAGCCTCCCAAGTAGCTGGGATTTACAGGCGTGTGCCACCACACCTGGCTAATTTTTGTATTTTTAGTGGAGACGGGGTTTTACCGTATTGGCCAGGCCGCTCTCAGAACTCCTGACCTCAAATGATACGCCCACCTCAGCCTCCCAAAGTGCTGGGATTACAGGTGTGAGCCACTGCGCCCGGCCCTATGCATAGTTTTTACACAGTTGAGACTCCACTGCATTTATAATTTTTTATGTTTTTTTTCAACATTATCACACATTTCCAGATCTTTTTTAAATACATCTCATTAGAGCAAACAAGGCAAAGAAACAAAAAGCTTCAAAAGCCCTGGTTGATGGTGTTCACTACCATGTAGCTGATCATCCCCCATTCCTGAGATGCTTTGGTAGTTTCTGATTTTTGCTATTAGTCCTGCTATGTTGCCCTGTCTGGTCTTGAACTCCTGGGCTCAAGCAATCCTCCCACTTTGGCCTCTCAAAGTGTTGAGATTACAGGTGTGAGCCTCAATGCCCAGCCCACGGGGTCATTTTTAAAGCACATGTTATCAAACTACTTTCCAGAAAAGTTGTTCTGATTCCTGTCCTCGCCTGTAGTACACAAGGTTGCCCATCTCACCGCATCATCACCAACACAGAATTATCTTTTAGCTTCACACAGTTAACTCAATCGGGCGGACATCTGACTTCTGTCTTCAAGAATTCAGTCTTGTAGGGAGCCTACAAGACTGAATTAGGACCTTTCTAATGGGAAGCAGTCTCTAGAAAACCATGCAAGGGGCACTCACACTTGAAGAGTGTAGTGGAGGGAGAGGGGTCGCTTTTGGCCCTTGCGGCATCACAGACAACTGATGCCAGAAGGGGCCTTTTCTCCTGCTTTCTCCCCGACTCCTGACCATTCTTCTCACCTCTAGCAAGTCTATTCTCTACAGAGCCACCAGAGTGAGTGTCCTAAACATGTACCTGATCATGTCACTTCCTGTTACAAAAGGCCAGAAAACCTCCCCATTGCTCTGAATATGAAGCCCAAACTCTTTATTATAGTCTTTGAGGTCTCTACAATCAGGGCCTGCCAGATTTTCCATTTTCATCTCACGTTCCACTCTCCTTCATTCTCTGAGTTCCAGGCACCCAGCTTCTCCAACTTTAATGTGCACATACATCCCCCAGCGACTGTAAAAATGCATGTTCTGATCACTAGGTCTGCGGCAGGGCCTGAGATTCTGCTTTTTTTTTTTTTTTTTTTTTCTGTCGCCCAGGCTGGAGTGCAGTGGTGCAATCTCGGCTCACTGCAAGCTCTGCCTCCCGGGTTCACGCCATTCTCCTACCTCAGCCTCCCGAGTAGCCGGGACTACAGGCACCCGCCACCACGCCCAGCTAATTTTTTTGTATTTTTAGTAGAGACGAGATTTCACCATGTTAGCCAGGATAGTTTTGATTTCCTGACCTCGTGATCCACCCGCCTTGGCCTCCCAAAGTGCTGGGATTACAGGCATGAGCCACTATGCCCGGCTTTCTTTTTTTTGAGATGGAGTCTCGCTCTGTCGCCCAGGCTGGAGTGCAGTGGCACGATCTGGGTTCACTGCAACCTCTGCCTTCCGGGTTCACGCCGTTCTCCTGCCTCAGCCTCCCAAGTAGCCGGGACTACAGGCGCCCACCACCACGCCTGGCTAATTTTTTGTGTTTTAGTAGAGACAGGGTTTCACCATGTTGGCCAGGATGGTTTCAATCTCCTGACCTCGTGATCTGCCGGCCTTGGCCTCCCAAAGTGCTGGGATTACAGGCGTGAGCCACTGTGCCTGGCCTTCTTTTTTTTTTTTTTAGATGAAGTCTCACTCTGTTGCCCAGGCTGGAGTGCAGTGGCACGATCACAGCTCACTGCAACCTCTGCCTGCTGGGTTCAAGCGATTCTCCTATCTCAGCCTCCTGAGTAGCTGGGACTACAGGTATGCACCACCATCATGCACGGCTAATTTTTGTACTTTTAGCGGAGATGCGGTTTTGCCATATCAGTCAGGCTGTTCTCGAACTCCTGACCTCAGGTGATCCACCGGCCTCAGCCTCCCAAAGTGCTGGAATTACAGGCACGAGCCCGAGATTCTGCCTTTTTAACATACTCCCCAGGGGTGCGCGTGCTGCTGGTCCACGGACCACATGTTGGGTAGCAAGGCTTTAATTTGTTTTGTCCTCCCCATCTCTGGGCTGTTGCCTGGCAACACTCTTCTCTCAACTTTACTGCAGCACCTCCTGCTCATCCTTTAGTGTTGGCTTAAAAAAAAACTTCCTCAGCCGGGCGTGATTCACGCCTGTAATCCCAGCACTTTGGGAGTCTGAGGTGGACAGATCACTTGAGGTTAGGAGTTCAAGACTATCCTGGTCAACATGGTGAAACCCTGTCTCTACTAAAAATACAAAGATTAGCCAGTCGTGGTGGTGGGCTCCTGTAATCCCATCTACTCGGGAGGCTGAGGCAGGAAGAATCACTTGAACCTGGGAGGCGGAGGTTGCAGTGAGTGAAGATCATGCCACTGCACTCCAGCCTGGATGACAGAGAGAGATCCTGTCTCAAAACAAACAAACAAACAAACACTCTCTTCACCTTAAACATTGTGACTTGCCTTCCAGAGGCTGAACCTGGGGGCTGACTTGCTTGAGGCTGGGAAGTGAAGAAGGAGCAAGAGATGAGAGGAAAGGATTGGTTTCCTATGGCCATAGCAGCAGCCCTGGTCCTCAGGGAGCCACATAGTCAGGAGGGAAGGGGACATGCAGTCACTAGCCTTCCTCGTGCCAGCTTTACCCATCTGCAGGAGAGCATGGTGGCTGTGTGTGGACTGTGAATTGACACTGCTGGCTTCCAGTCCCCACCCTAACACTTTCCAGCAGTGTGATCTTGGGAAGGTTGTTTGACCTTTTTGTGCCTGTTTCCTCATCTACAAGAATTAAACAATAAAATATCCCTGGTTAGGCATTCACTAAGTGTTAATTATTTATATGGAGTTGCTTGCTTAACTAGTATAAGGGGCCGTCTGGTGTATTTCTGTTGCTTCAGCATAATTATTAATAATGACCTCAAAAGATCCCTGCTTTGGTTGATTTGGTCATTCTACCAGCCCTCAGACCCCAGTTTCCTTGTCTGAAATGGAAGGAGTTTGCTTGAGCAGTGATTCTCAAAGTGTGATCTCGGGACCAGCAGCCTCAGCATCACTTGGGGGTGGGGCCAGCAGCCTGTGTCTTCTGAAACGTGTCCTGGTTTGAGGACTGTTCCCTTCATCTTTTATAGCTACTGCTTTAAAGTTCACTAGCACGTTCATGAACGTTATCTACTGAGCTTCCCAACAGCCCTGAAGGAGGGGGTGGGGGTCAGTGGCTTGGAGTGTGCACTCTGGGGCTGACCACTCTGGGCTCCAATGTTCGCTTAACTGCTTTCAGAGAGTGTAACCTTGGCTAAGTCACCTAACTTTTCTGACACTCTATTTTTCTCCTGTGAAATGGTACCCATGAAACAGGTTGCATGGTAGTTCCAGGAGAACCTGTGTGAAATGTGCATACCGTGGGCCTTGGCCAACTGGTTACTATAACCATTTTTGAAGTGCAGATTTCTGGCTTCTTGAGGCTTTGAAGGCAAAGGCTTCCTTACAGGTCGGTCCCTGACAGGTCGAGGAAAGGGTAGCTGGGAGAGAGGGCAGTATAGTCATGACTTCGGAGTCAGACATGTGGTTTAAATCTAAACTCAGAGTTTGTCAGCTGCACAACCTTGAGCCGGCCACTTAACCCCTCTGAGCCCCTATTTCCTTGTGTGGAGAGACATGTAAACAGCCATCATGCCACCACAGTGACCAGTGGCTGATCCTTGCTTCTCTCCCTCTGTCTTCTCCATCCCCTGCCTTGGCCTGCCTCAGTCTTGGCAGCTGGACTTACTGTTCAGGGCAGCTGTCATGGCTTCCTTGCTGTTGGCTGCGTGGTACCAGGTGACCTCCAGGGCATCTCGGCGGCTGATCTGGCCCAGGCTCAGCAGGTAGTCCAGCATATCGGCATCGGGGCTGCAGGCCTCCAGCGCACAGCCTGGAAGGAATCCCAAGGGGCTGTTAGCGTCTGTCCTCACGCCAGCCCAAGACTCATGTTGTTCATCCCATGACCCTCCCTGGGCTCCCACTGTGTCCAATACCCCATCTGGCAGAGGGACGGTGAGGCTCAGACTCACTGGTGCTGCAATAGAGGGAAATGAATGGGCTCCTGGGGCCCATGGAGGCCTCAGTACCAGGCTGGCAGTCAGGAAAGGGGGGTAGGTTCACAGAGGAGGGAACACTTAAGGAAGACTTGAAGGATGGGTGTAAATTTCACAGAAAAAAAGGAAGAATAAGTTATTCCAGACAGAGAGAAAGCAAAGGCTTGGCTTCAGGAGAGTGCAGTTGCCTGAAGGAAGAGCCATTGACCTGTTAGAGATGGAACATAAAAGTGGAATGTGGAAAGATTGGAAGAGGGGGCCGGGCGTGGTGGTGGCTCACGCCTGTAATCCCAGCACTTTGGGAGGCTGAGGCAGGTGGATCACCTGAGGTCAGGAGTTGGAGACCAGCCTGGCCAACACGGTGAAACCATTTTGTATGTGGTGTAACCACATACAAAAATTAGCTGGAAGGCTGTGGTGGCAGGAGCCTGTAATCCCAGCTACTCGGGAGGCTGAGGCAGGAGAATCACTTGAACCCAGGAGATGGAGGTTGCAGTGAGCCAAAATCGCACCACTGTACTCCAGCCTGGATGACAGAAAGAGACTGTCAAAAAAAAAAAAAAAAAAAAAAAAAAGGCTGAGTTTGGTGGCTCACACCTGTAATCCTAGCACTTTGGGAGGCCGAGTTCAAGACTAGCCTGGGCAAAATGGTGAAACCCCATCTCTACTAAAAATACAAAAATTAGATGGGCTTGGTGGCATGTGCCTGTAATCCCAACTACTGGGGAGGCCAAGGCAGAGAATCACTTGAACCTAGGAGACAGAGGTTGCAGTGAGCCGGAGATCATGCCACTGCCTGGTTGCACTCCAGCCTGGGTGACAGAGTGAGGCACTGTCTCAAAAACAAACAAACAAACAAACAAACAAACAAACAACTCTTCTCAGTGGCTGAGGCCTGTAATCCCAGCACTTTGGGAGACAGAGGCAGGCAGATCACCTGAGTTCAGGAGTTCACGATCAGCCTGGCCAACATCGTGAAACCCCATCTCTATTAAAAATACAAAAATTAGCTGGGCATGGTGGTCCATGCCTGTAATCCCAGCTACTGGGGAGACTGAGGCAAAAGAATTGCTTGAACCTGGGAGGCGGAGGGTGCATTAGCCCAGATCATGCCACTGCACTCCAGTCTGGGCAACAGAGCAAGACTCTGTCCCAAAAAAAAAAAAAAAAATTATAAGATTGGAAGAAGGTTGGGATCAGGTTGTGAATGGCCTTGAACTTTAGCAAAGGAGTTGGTGTGTGCTGAGGGCAGCAAGCGAGGGTTGCTTGGAAAGATCTGGGTTGCAGAGCTAATATGAGCTGACAAAACCAGGCAGAGGGACCTTGTAAGAGGGGTCCAGGAGGAGACTTTGAAGCTTCTCAGAGGGCAGGGCCGGAGGGATGAAGGACAGAGGGTGGAAAGGCAGAGCCCTCGAGGCTCAGGACTGAGGAGCATAGGCATGAGGTGGGGGCATGGTGGCTACTCCAGGCACCTGTGTGAACGGAGGAGCCCTTCACTGAGAGGCTGCAGGGGTGAGCATCTGTTGGGGCTTAGAGATGAGCTCAGCCCAGCCTGCTGAGTTTGAGGTTGCTTGTGTGACTCCTAAGAAGGGCACAGGAGGAAGGTCTGGGCTGAAAGCCAAGATCTGATGGTCTTCAGACAACTGAAGAAAAAAAAGTTAGAGGGGGCCAGGCACGGTGGCTCATGCCTGTAATCCCAGCACTTTGGGAGGCCAAGAAGGCAGATCACCTGAGGTCAGGAGTTTGAGACCAACCTGGCCAACATGGTAAAATCCTGTTTCTACTAAAAATACCAAAAAAAAATTGGCCCAGCCCAGTGGCTCACGCCTACAGTCCCAGCACTTTGGGAGGCTGAGGCAGGCGGATCACCTGAGGTCAGGAGTTTGAGCAGCTTGGCCAACATGGCGAAACCCTGTCTCTAGTGAAAATAAAAAAAAATTAGTCTGGTGTGGTGGTGCCCACTTGTAATCCCAGCTACTTGGGAGGCTGAGGCGGGAGAATCGCTTGAACCCAGGAGGTGGAGGTTGCGGTGAGCCGATATCATGCCACTGCACTCTAGCTTGGGTGACAGAGTGAGACTCTGTCTCAAAAAAAAAGAAGAAAAAAAGGACCGGGTATGGTGGCTCATGCCTGTAATCCCAGAACTTTGGGAGGCCAAGATGGGCAGATCAGGAGGTCAAGAGATCAAGACCAACCTGGCCAACATGGTGAAACCCCGTCTCTACTAAAAATACAAAAATTAGCTGAGCGTGGCAGAGCACGCCTGTCATCCCAGCTACTTGAGAGGCTGAAGCAGGAGAATCGCTTGAACCTGGGAGGTGGAGGTTGCAGTGAGCCGAGATCTCATCACTGCACTCCAGCCTGGCGACAGAGTGAGACTCCATTTCAAAAACAAAACAAACGAAAAAAACCCCACAAAAAATTAGCCGTATGGTTGCACACGCCTGTGATCCCAGCTACTTGCAGTGCTGAGGCAAGAGAATCGCTTGGATCCGGGAGGCGGAGGTTGCAGTGAGTTGAGATTGCACCATTGCACTCCAGCCTGGGGGACAAGAGTGAAAACTCCATCTCAAAAAAAAAAAAAAAAAAAAGTTAACGGGACTTTCTGCTGGGGATGAAGTCACGTAGGGCTGGGGGATGGAAGAGAGAAAAAACTGCGGGTGGGAAATGAGGCTTGGTAGGGACGAGGGCTCAAGAAGAGCTGGTTGGCCTGGCGTGATGGCTCACACCTGTAATCCCAGCACTTTGAGAGGCTGAGGTGGGTGGATCACCTGAGGTCAGGAGTTCACGACCAGCCTGGCCAACATGGTGAAACCCCATCTCCACTAAAAATACAAAAAATTAGCTGGGTGTGCCTGTAATCCCAGCTACTTGGGAGGCTGAGGCAGGAGAATCGCTTGAACCCGGGAGGCGGAGGTTGGAATAAGCCGAGAATCGCGCCATTGCACTCCAGCCTGGGGCAACAAGAGCGAAACTCCGTCTCAAAAACAAAAACAAAAACAAAAAATAAATGGAAAGCTGGTCAGAGCTGTAAGTCAGAAGTGGGGATAAGGAGCGAGCGATGCGGGAAGCCACTTAGGATGGGATGGGGGGAGGCACCTACCTGGCCGCCGCAGGGTGATGGCAAGGACTGTCGTGGCAATGACCACCACAGACACACAGGTAATGCCAGCAAACACCCAATTGACCTGATTCTTTGATAACTGCTCCCTCCAGGCCATGGCGATGCTGTCTGGGGAATGCCCCCAACTCTGCACGGCCCAGAGTCCCTGAGGCTCCCTGCAGCTGAGATGCTGTGGAAGGCAGGAGCTCCCAGCAGCACCTAATTCTCCACCAGGTCTGGTCCACTCTGCAGCCCTGTAATATCTCTGACTGGAGATAACCCCTGAAGCCCCTCCTCCCTCCCCACCCCACTCCTCTTTCCCACACCCTCCCAGGATCTTAACAGGCTAACCAGAAAGTCCACCATCCCTAAAATGACCTTTGAGCACAGTAAGAGGCAGCAGAGAATGCTGAACCAAGCCCCGACCCCTGGCTGTCTGCCCCTGCCTGGGAATCAGGAGACCAATCCCAGCCCCTGTTGCTTTTCTGGAGTCCTGGAGCAAGTGTCTGCCCCTCTCTGGGCCTCATTTCCTTCTGTGTAAAAGGAGACACTAGACTGGGTGATCTCGAACATTCTGTTCTTTCCCTTTCTAACTCCAGGCTTTCTGCCCTGCCCTCAGGGAATCCTGTATTATCAGGCAAGGGTGGTGACAAAGACAGATTAGATCTGCATAAGGGGCAAAATCTTCCTTTCATCTGAGATTATGGCTAATAGATTATCCACCTGGGATATAAATTGGTAGTCCTGGCATGCTGGCATGGGTTACTGCAGGCCGGTTCTGGGCAGCGAGTCCACGGGGAGGGGACTGAGTCACCACTTCATGCAGGCAGAGGGAGTTCTGGGGGCCCTGGTATGGGCAGTGAGTTAGAGGCTGCCCCTATTCTGAGGACCCCAGAATTTAAATGAGTCCAAGAATCACCTGTAACCTGCACGGAGACTTCAGCGTCTACATGCTGGGGCTCACGGAGAGATCCAGACTGTGAGGCTGTGATAGGCCACCCGAGGCAGAGCAGGGCACTTGGTGGCTTTGATTGTGTGTGTGAAAGGGTGTCTAGAGTGATGTCCAGGTGGGCAGACGTCAGGGACTGAGGGTGGAGGGCAGGGCGGGAGGGATTTTGGTCATGGGGCTTGTCGTGGATCATTCCTGAGTCGATTTTCCCGCCTCAGCCTCCCCAAGGAGAGAACTGGATATAGAGGCTGTGGGCTCAGGACTGAGATCAGGGCCAAAGACAAGGGCATGAGCATCATTTTCTGGCCAAAGCAAAGAGAGAAAGGGACGGAGGCTGACTTCTGGGGACCACTGACAGGAGGACAGGTGGAGGAAGAGGCATCAGTAGAGGAGAGCGGACAGCAGAGGGCGGTGGGGGGTGTCAATGGAAAGGTCAAGAAGAAAGGAGTGGTTAGCCAGGCCGGGAAATGGAGCCCAATAAGGACAGCAAGGCCCCTGATGCTGGCCAGGACCGTTTCCCTGGATCAGTGGGGAGGGCAGAGGTCAGAGCAGAGCCTGTTTAGAGGGGCCAGGAAAGACCAGAGAGGATGAAGGTACGGGAGGGAGAGGCCCTGGGACAAAGTGAGGATGGGAGCAGGAGGACCTGGTGCTCAGGGGGTGCTATTCCACAGGATGTGGGGAACGGTGGGCATTGTGAGTGGTGAGTCTGGGGATGATGGTTGGGAGGTGATGTGGTGAAGGGGGACAGTGAGGGAGAGGTTTGGGATAGGCAGTTTCTGTTGGCTGGTTGGGGCATGTGTGGTATGCCTACAGGGATCCAAAGAGACCCAAGCTGTGGGCTGCTAGATGGACAGGACCCCACTGAAGACCCGCTCCCCACCACTGTACATTGGGAAATGTGAGGCTGTGATGGGCCACCCGAGCCAGAGCTGGCCCTGGAGCCCAAGCTCAATTCTCGGTTCTTGGAGCCTCTGGAGAAAGGGAGATCTAGTCTCTCTGGGCTTCTGGTTCATTCTCCAAATCAACTCAACAAACTCAGCAGCTGCCAGGAGCCAGGCCCTGGTGGGGTGTCAGGACTGCTGGCTGGAATGGAGCAGGGTCAGTGCTGTGGGATCTTCTCAGGAGACAGTAAGGGGGCTGTAGACAAGCAGGAACATGTCTTGTGAGTCCCCTTTCTTAGGGGGGCTGCCTTCCCAGGCCACCCACTCCGGATTCCAGAATCTACATGGTAATTGGGCCTCACCCAGATCCCTTCTGTAATAAGGCATGGAAGGGTGTGTTAACTGGAATATTATGACAGCCGCAAAAAGCTAACAGAATGACAGAAGCTACATCTTGAGTAACAACCACATATGCTTTACTCTATAGTTAAAGTCTAGAGGAAATTTCTGTGTAAGAGTTGGCCATAAAAAAAAGAAAAAAGAAAAGGCCGGCAGGGTGGCTCAAACCCATAATCCCAGCACTTTGGGAGGCTGAGGCGGGTGAATCACTTGAGGTCAGGAGTTCAAGACTAGCTTGGCCAATACAGTGAGACCCTGTTTCTACTAAAATACAAAAATTAGCTGGGCATAGTGGCACAAGCCTGTAATCTCAGCTACTCGGGAGGCTGATGCAGGAGAATCGCTCGAACCTGGGAGGTGGAGGTTGCAATGAGCCGAGATTGCACCATTGACCTCCAGCCTGAGCGACAGAGTGAGACGCTGTTTCAAAAAAAAGAAAAGAAAAGAAAAGAAAAAAAGTCTAGAGGAACACCACCAGAATTATACAATGTGACTCCAGGGTTGTCCCCAAGCCCCATACTGATAAGTCTCACCTAGTCTGGCTTGCATTTTTTCTGCTTTTATTAATAATATTATTTGTGATTTCCTACAAAGTGTCCCACATTTTAATTTCATCCACGTGTCACACAACACTGCCAAATGACTCTCATGTCCCCATGTTGCAGGCAAAGAAATCAAGGCTTGGAGAGGTTGAGACTTGTCCCAAGTCACCTCAGTGTTAAGTTCAAATGCAGGTCAGGCTGACTGTGGGCCTGTCTGCCTGATTTTATCCATCTACTTGTCCCTTCTTATTCATACCCATTTACAATGGGACAGTCACTTATTTTGGCAAGAATATTTAACAGTAATGCTGGACAGGCCGGGCGCGGTGGCTCAAGCCTGTAATCCCAGCACTTTGGGAGGCCGAGACGGGCGGATCACGAGGTCAGGAGATCGAGACCATCCTGGCTAGCACGGTGAATACCAAAAACCGTCTCTACTAAAAATCAAAAAACAGCCGGCCGAGGATGGCGGGCGCTGTAGTTCAGCTACTACGGAGGCTGAGGCAGGAGAATAACAAAACACAGGGAGGACACAGAGCTGAGATCCGCCACAGCACTCAAAACCGCCTGGCGCAAACAGAGCGAGGACTCACCGTCTCAAAAAAAAAAACAACAAAAACAGTAAAATGCTAGAACATTTTGAGAAAACACACAAGAACATGAGGAACACACACCTCCACAACACCATCCTCATTATTGGAGCACAGACAACATTCAGTTATCGTGACACACTTATTGAGCGAGGTCATTCCTGTTTTTTTATTTATAATTAAATTAAAACACACACACAGGCCCAGCCTGGAGTGCAGTAGGCCAATCTTGGCTCACCTAAGACACACAATCTGCCTCCCTGGGTTAAAGCGATTAATCGCTTGCCTCCAACAAAATACAGGCATGCACCACCATGCTCAGCTAACTTTTGTATTTTTAGTAGAGACGGGGTTTGACCATGTTGGCTAGGCCGGTCTCGAACTCCTGAGCTCAAATGATCCACCTGCCTCAGCCTCCCAAAGTGCTGGGATTATAGGCGTGAGCCACTGTGCCCAGCCAAGGAAGACATTTTTATGCCCCTTTTTCACAGAAGGGAGCCAGAGTCAGTTTGCAGCAGAAAGGGGTGCCCGTGCCCCGTCATTCCTACTCCACAGGCCGTGTGTCACTTATCGTCCCTGGGAAAGAAGCCGGGGAGCCGAGCTCTTAGGCGCGGAGCTTCGCCACCTCTCTTGGCTCCGAAGAGCTCTGCAGACTGTCTGGGAGGAAAGAGACTTCATCTGGCTCTGGTTTTTGGCAGCAGGAACAGCCTTGGAACCGACTCCAAGCTGCAAAGACTCCTCCATTATCTGTGATACTTCTCGTTGGGTTATAAATCACTAAACAAGTTACTGAGCACACATTCTGTGCCAGGCCCTGTGCTAGGCTCTGGAGATCCCTCCCATGGCATACTGTGGGAGAGAAGAAAGCAGGGGCTGTCAGGAGGCTCCAGCATTTCAGATGTGAAACAGCCATTTTATTAATAGAGTTGGTGCACATCAAAAACACAGAGCAGGCTTATAGCCTGTAAGGATGTCAGACATGGAAAGTGGCAGTAGGCCCAGGTTGGGACATGTAGGATGGAGAAAACACAGTTTAGAAACCCCAAACTCCTGGGTGGGCCAGGAGGCTTTCAGAAGAGGCTTGGCTGACTCAGAGAACCATCAGGGACGGGGGCTAGGGAAGACCTTCCAGACAAAGGGCGCAGTGTGTGTGGGAGAGGGCCCAGGCATGAGGGAGAAGAGCCTGTTTGGGAGTGTGAGCAGTGTGGCTGGAGCACCAGGTGGGAAATGGGGGGAAACAGAGTGGGAGAGAGATGAGACTGGGGATCCCTGGAGGGTTGGGTCACCCTGATGAAGAATTTGGCTTCAACCTGGAGGGGTGGGGGAGCCCTTACCCATGGAATAAGCAAGGAGCGCCACACTCAGCTTTGCATTTGGGAGGTGGCTGGAGGCTGGAGTTGAGAAATGACTCCTGGAGGCCTGACTGCCTCTGCATCCAGGCTGTCCTGTTTAGCACTACCCACCCCTGTACCCCCGAAGAGCCACAGGACTTCCCACACTGCATTGCTCAGAACAGCAAATGGCCGAGGGAAGTGTGTGCCTCAGGCTGTGTTATGTGGGTTACTCTGATACTCTCCCCACTTCCACACCATGACGTGTCATAGGGGAGATGAAACCAGGGGTGGTTCAGAGACTCCAACGTTTCAGATATGGAGCTGTCATTTTTAGAACTGGTGGTTCACACCTGTAATCCCAGCACTTTGGGAGGCTGAGGTGGGAGGATTGCTTGAGCCCAGGAGTTCGAGACCAGCCTGGGCAATGCAGGGGGATCTCGTCTCTACAAAATAAAAAAATAAATTAGCGAGACATGGTGGTGCATGCCTATAGTCCCAGCTACCCAGGAGGTGGGAGGATGGTGCCGCTGTACTCTATCCTGGGCAACAGAGCAAAACCCCATCTCTAAAAAAAAAAAAGAAAAGAAAAGAAAGAAAGAAACCCATTTGCCAATTTTGACACTATCATGTTGTAGGAGAAAAAATAAAATTCCTTTAAAAATTAATGACCACAAACTGGCCCTCACACAGCTATTTGGTCCTAATTTGTACTGCTTAGGTGGTCTCAACACTCTAAATGGTGGAATTTTATTTAAAGTAGTTTCATGTTGGTGGTGTCCCAAGATAACTACTATAAGCAAAAACAAGTTTTCTCCAGAGGAACATAGAGGCTGGGCGCAGTGGCGCACACCTGCAATCCCAGCACTTGGGGAGGCCGAGGCGGGCAGATCACTCAAGGTCAGGCATTCGAGACCAGCCTGGGCAATATGACGAAACCCCGTCTCTACTAAAAATACAAAATTACCGGGGTGTGGTGGCTCATGCCTGTGATCCCAGCTACTTGGGAGGCTGAGGGAAGAGAATCACTTGAACCCAGGAGGTAGAGGTTGCAATTAGCCAACATTGCACCCCTGCACTCCAGCCTGGGCAACAGAGCAAGACTGTCTCAAAAAAAAAAAGAGCATAGCTTTAATCCAGGCCTTAAGGAATTCTTTTTTTTTTTTTTTTTTTAGACGGAGTCTTGCTCTGTCACCCAGGCTGGAGTGCAGTGGCCGGATCTCAGCTCACTGCAAGCTCCGCCTCCTGGGTTTACGCCATTCTCCTGCCTCAGCCTCCTAAGTAGCTGGGACTACAGGCGCCCGCCACCTCGCCCGGCTAGTTTTTTTTGTATTTTTTAGTAGAGATGGGGTTTCACCGTGTTAGCCAGGATGGTCTCGATCTCCTGACCTCGTGATCCACCCGTCTTGGCCTCCCAAAGTGCTGGGATTACAGGCGTGAGCCACCGCGCCCGGCGGCCTTAAGGAATTCTGAGACAAAGTTTCAGGGAAAATAAGCGGTTCCCAGTCAACAATCCCAAAAGTCATAAGAAAATAAGGCACCATGGGTGAAAACCAAGAGACAATGTAAACAGCAGAATCAGACCCACAATTTTGTTCAGAATACAAAATTATCAAAAGCAAAATAACATGGTTTTTTTGTTTTTTGTTTTTGAGATGGAGTCTCTCTCTGTTGCCCAGTCTGGAGTGCAGTGGCGTGATCTCGGCTCATTGCAACCTCTGCCTCCCAGGTTCAAGCAATTCTCCTGCCTCAGCCTCCTGAGTAACTGGGACTACAGACACATGCCACCACGTCCACCTAATTTTTTGTAATTTTAGTAGAGATGGAGTTTCATCGTGTTAGCCAGGGTGGCCTCAATCTCCTGACCTCGTGATCCACCCGCCTCAGTCTCCCAAAGGACTGGGATTACAGGCATGAACCCCCGTGCCCAGCCTGTTTTTTGATTTTTTTGAGACAGTGTCTTGCTCTGTCATCCAGGCTGGAGTACAATGATGCGATCATGGCTCATTGCAGCCTTGAACTCCTGGGCTCAAGCGATTCTCCCGCCACAGCCTCCCAAGTAGCTAGGACTACAGCTGTGCACCACCATGCCTGGCTAATTTTTGTGTGTGTGGAGATAGGGTGTCACTATGTTACCAGGCTGGTCTTGAACTCATGGACTCAATCTATCCTCCTGCCTAGGCCTCCCCAGAGGGGAGGGATTAAGGGCTGGGATTAAGGCATGAATTACCACACCCAGCCTGTTTAATATGTTTAAAGAAATAAAAAAACAAGCCAGGTGTGGTGGCTCACACCTATAATCCCAGAACTTTGGGAGGCCGAGGCTGGTGGATCATTTGAGTTTAGGAGTTTGAGACCAGCCTGGCCAACATGGTGAAACCCCTTCTCTACTAAAAATATGAAAATTATCCAGGCCTGGTGGCACGACCCTGTGATTTCAGCTACTCAGGAAACTGAGGCACCAGAATTGCTTGCACATGGGAGGCGGAGGCTGCAGTGAGCTGAGATCATGCCACTGCACTCCAGCCTGGGCAATAGAGTGAGACTCTGTCTCAAAACAAACAAACAAACAAACAAACAGCTTTAGGCCAGGTGTGGTGGCTCACGCCTATAATCCCAGCACTTTGGGAGGCCAAGGAGGACAGATCACCTGAGGTCAGGAGTTTGAGACCAGTCTGGCCAACATGGCGAAACTCC